AAAGAGTAGTGCTATTCTAAAAGCAACCTGATATAGACTTAGAGTTTATAAAACAAAAAGTTATAAAATATATGTATAGAAATTGTCCTTTCTTCAATCATCAAGAATACAGGCAACAATAAATAAATGTTGGTGAAGATGTGGGGAAAAGGTACACTCACACATTGCTGGTGGGACTGAAAATTAGTGCAACCACGATGGAAAGCAGTATGGAGATTCCTCAGAAAACTTGGAATGGAACCAACATTTGACCCAGTTACCCACTCCTCAGTTTATACCCAAAGGACTTAAAATCAGCATAGTACAGTAACGCAGCCACATCAATGTTTATAGCAGCTCAATTCACAATATCTAAACTATGGAACCAACCTAGGTGTCCTTCAATAGATGAATGGATAAAGAAAATGTGGTATGTCTACTCAATGGAATATTACTCAGCTTTAAAGAAGAGTGAAATTATGGCCTTTGCCAGTAAATGGATGGAGTTGGAGAATATCAGACTAAGCAAAATAAGCCAATCAAAAAAAAAAAAAAAAACAAAGGCCAAATGTTTTCTCTAACATGCAGATGCTAATTCACAATAAAGTGGTAGGGGAGACTAGAGAAGAATAGTATTACCTTAGATTAGGTAGAGAGAAGTGATGAGAGGGAAGGGGAAGGGATATGGGGACAGGAAAGACGGTGGAATGAAACAGACATTATTACTTTGGGTATATATGTGACTACATGACCAATATGATTCTACAATATGTACACTCAGAAAAGTAAGAAATTATATCCCATCTATGAATGATATATCAAAGTGCATAAATGCATTCTACTGTCATGTATAACTAATTAAAACAAATTTTAAAATTAATAAAAAAGAAAAAAGTTTTAAAAAGAGAAATTGGCCTTTCTTTACAGTAACATTAAAGTACTACCTCACAGTTTATCCAGATGGACTGTCCACATTTTCAATCTTAATATTTTATCTAATTCAGACTAGACTTCACTGTAAGTGCAGCTCCGAGTTGGTGGAGGTATTTTTTCGTTTGTTTGTTTTGGGGTTTTTTGTTTGTTTGTTTGTTTGTTTTTAGTATAACTCAATGCAAAGGCTTCTCTACAGAGATTTACTAAAATACACTTTGTGAAGCCCAAGTATTTTTAAGTGGATAGAAAGTAGAAAAACCTGTTCCTAGAATGCTCTTAGGCATGTAAGGCACAGATTGCATTTTAATTTAAATCCATTGCTTCACTTTTTTTTTTTCTGAGAAGTTAGATAAGTCCTAAGTACTCTGTTGATAGAAATCTGACCTGCTGCAAAGAGCCAGTGCAGACAATGATTCATCAGATTCTTAAAAACAAAAATGCCTTCATGAGTCAATGACAGGGACAGTCATGGCTTTTGACAGCATTTGTGAAGAAAAATGCGGCTGGACTTTTTCCCATTTTTACTAATTTGGCCATCTTTAGTGAGAGGGACACCTGGGGAGGTTACATTTTAATTTGGCTCACCAGCAGGTATTATAGTCATGACTCCCCTGGGCTGGGGGTCCTCAAATGGGAACAATTTTGCCCCAGAAAGAAATGTGGCAATGCCTACGGACATTGTTGGTCTGGGGTGGGATGCTCCTGGTGTCACAGTCACGAAGAATTATCTGGCTCAAAATTGTCAACAGCCACTGAGGTTCCGAAACCCACATCCTAGATCAAAAGAGTAAAGAGGAAATCTTTGCAACAAAACAGGTGGCACTTCTCTTGGTTTTATATTATATTCTGGTTTCACTTTCTGTGATGGGTGGATTAAGTGGATTGGTTTGTTGCACCGTCATTATGTTGGATGGATCAGTTGAGGCTAAAGCCACATGAAGAAAAGGGTGTCGTGTGCAGTTCGTGTTGTTTCATTTCACAACAAGAGTAGAATTATCATTTATAAAAAGAAGAAATGGTAGAAAATGTTTCCTGGTTATTTCACTATCTCAAGATTTGAAATTTCATTTAAATGTTCTAAATATCATTTGTGCCTAATGATATACATATTTTACTAAACTGTGTAACAATTTGGCAGTAAGAAAAATGTTCTACTTACAGAAACTTGTGGATCTGTCCATTATTCTATTAATAGAACCCAAGAATAGATAAAAATGAGATGAATAGGATTTATTTTGCAAATCTTCCTAATGTACACCCTTGATTTTATGGAAAATCTTGCTGTTTCCCAAGGTTGTATTGTAATCTATATTTGGAGTTTATTGCTATATAGATATAGGGAAATTTACCTGAAGAGGAAATCATACATGATTGACTTTTATGCAATATCAGTAATGATAACACTGAATCTTTTAAGTGTGAAGTTTCTCTTTTTCATGCTGATAATCACTACTAAATTTTAAAATGAAACTTTCATTATACCTAAATCTGCCAATGAATGTTAGTTTTCTAATCCAAAAAGATCAACAAATGAAAAACAGGAAAAAGAAGATAAAACAATCAGGAGAGCAATCCAGGGTCCAACATCCCAAGAGCAGGAGTCCCAGAGAAGTCAAAATGGAAAATTTCCCAGAATTAAAAGAAATGAGTTTCTAGATTTAAAGGAATCACCAAGTATTCAGCACAATAGATGAAACAGACCCACCCAAGGCACATCATAGTGAAAAAAAGATAAGATTCCATAGCTCTGGGGAAAAAAAAATGAGCCACATTTAAAGGCTCAAAAATAGAATGGTTTCAGTGACACCCACCTGTAATCCCAGTGGCTTGAGAGGCTGAGAAAGGAGGATCGTGAGTTCAAAGCCAGCCTCAGCAAAAGCGAGGTGCTAAGCAACTCAGTGAGACCCTGTCTCTAAATAGAATACAAAATAGGGCTGGGGATGTGGCTCAGTAGTCCAGTGCCCCTGAGTTCATTCCCCAGTACCAAAAAAAAAAAAATTTTTGCATGGTTTCTGACTCCATCGCCACCATAACAAAATCTAGACAGTGAATCAATGCCTTCAAAAAAAAAATTGATTTGCAACCTAGAGTTCTACACTTAGCCAAACTGTCAATCAAATGTGAGGGCAAACCAAAGACATTTTTAGGCACCCGAGCTCTTTTCACAATGCACTATTTTTCAATAAACTATTAGGGAAACTAGTCCAACGAAAACAAGGAAGTAAACCAAGAGAGAGAAAGATGTGAGCTTCAGAGGATAAAAACATCAGTGCAGGAGAGAAGTGCCTGGGATCTTTAGGAGGCTAGCGAAGAAATGACAGCCGTGTTACTTAGAAGTCGAATGGTTTTTTCTTGCCCCACCTCCCCCCCCCCAAACTCACACTGGGGATGGAACCCTGGCCTCACACATGCTAGCCAAGCACTCTACCACCGAGTTACCTCCTCAGCCCAGGACACTGTTTTGAAGACCATTAGCCCCAATAAACAGATGTGCTGAGTGCCATCTCCCCCAGACCCCTTCTTGCTTTGCATCATCTTTTGAACCTGCCACATCCAGGTCCTAGTGAAGTTCCTTGCATGGTCCTGCACACTGACGTCTTTTATCAACTCTCAGGGAAGTGGAAGCCAGACTGCAACCCAGGGACCTGGGAGTCCACCCCACACACAAGCAGCAATCTACTTAGCATGCACTTGCCACTCGATTTCTGTATGAATCAGCCTTAACAGTCATATGTATAAACAGCTGACAGACAATAATAACCCAACAAGTTGAGAAAAACAATATGAAGATACCCACTGGAAGACATCTAAAATCTCATGATAGACAGAACATGAAGCTACCAACCACTTTGGGGGTCAATGCAGCAAGTACAGATGTTGGCAGCGTCTGAGGGAAAGCTGAGGCTGATCCTTGTAGGTGGCGCTGGTGAGTGCCTCCCCATCCAAGTCACTGTGGCCCCGATAGGCCAGCGGACAAGACACAGGGGAACCAGGCAAATAAGAACAAGATGAGGACCAGCAGGACCACTCCACTAGTACAACAGTTCTGAGCCAGCTCTGCACTAAGCAGAAAGACCTTCTAAGCTAATTCCTATGGAAATCCTCCAGGATCAGTTATCACTTGTTCTTTACTCAAGTTGGGGGACTTGGCTAAATCTCTCAAGGTCAAACAAATCTCCCAAGGTCAGACAGCTGACAAAAGGCAGGCCCCAGATCCAGCCCAGGTCGGCCTGACTCCAGGAGCCCATGCTGTTGACCACCACCCTGACCAAAAACAAAGGAATGGATCTCAAAAAATAAAAATGAACCACCAGACTGATTTTAACCTCATCATTCATTGAAGGAAAAAAATCATATTTTTCTGCATCAACAATCATATAAGAACTTTTTCCAAGAATGTGCTCATCAAAAAGCGGGGCGGGAAGTAGCAATCAAAGTGGGGCACAGGGAGAACAGGAAGGAGAAAAAGAGACCCAAGAGAGCGGGCAGGGCCAAAAGCAGACCAAGTAAAGGAACATAACTGCATCCCCTGGGAGGCCCTGGGGCCTCCTGGACTCCCTCTTGGACTTCAGCTGGGCTGAGGAGAGTGCCACTGGTAAGCCCGAGGAGGCTGGTCACACAGATCTCGGCCACCTCTGCTATTCATTGGCGTAGGCACATTTGACTCTAAGGAAAAGACAGGTGCAGGTCTGGAGACCCAACAGAGCTTTGTCGGATGAAATGAACAGCCACAGACAATTACAGAAGCACTGGAAGCCTCCATTTTCCCATCTGTTAAGTGGGAATAATAGAACCTCCAGGCTCCAGAGGTTCATCCCAGGGCCAGACACCAGGGAGGGCTCAGGAAAGAGGCTGATCACCATGGCCATGACTTCCTTTCTTGGCCATCACGTCCCTAACAGCACTGACCTGCGTTGCCACCATGTCTGACTGTCCTCCCACCCCGACTGTGACACCCTTGAGGACAGGAAGCACATCTCTGCTGTGTTGTCTTGTTCGGCCCTCTCTCTCCCCCCACACTGATGCCCAGCCACTGTCAGCTGGGAATGGTCTGGTTCCTGGGATGGGGACACAGGCTGAGGACACACCTGGTCACTGCGGGCAACTCCGTAGCGCAGCTCATTCACAAAGTGCTCGCAGTTCTCGCTGGTCACCTTGTAGAGGACCTCCTGCCCCACCAGCTCCTCCGCCCGCTGGATGATTTTGCTGGGGGGCAGCGGGGAGTACTTGTCGTCGTGCTTGTTATTGACCTGGTACTTGTCTCTCCCCGCCACGTCGTACAGCAGCTCCTTCTTCACTAGGGCCTTGTCCGTCAGGGCGGACATGATGCTGGCCGCACCCGCTCCTGCCACTTCACCTGAGGATCCACAAAGGGAAAACAGAGGAGAGGTCCAGGAAAGGGCCCCAGAGTCTCAGACCTGTCCCCAGCTGAGCATCTGCCCTTGGCACCAGAAGGGTACAGACATGACTGTGTGGCTTTGGAGAGGGCGTGTGGTCTCTGTGTCCTGGTTTTCTTACCTAAAGTAAGGACTAGTGAAGTTCCAGGATTTATTATAATTTTTGTTAGCCTAGAGAAGCTGGTTTTCTGTGCCCTTGACAACTACCTTGCCCTCTTAATTATGCAAATATGAACTTTGAACACACCTTTTCTTCTTAGAGAATACTGTGAATCTTTTGTGATTCCGTCAGGGCTACAACTCCTGGACCTCAGGACACTGAGGACAGAGAAAAGTTGACTGATTTCAGGAGCAGTCCCCACCTTCTGGGAGCAAAGGGACCAAAGCCCTATAGCTGCTTCCTAGGTGTGATGCTAAGGAGGGCCCCTAGGGACACCAGCAGTCCTGGCCAAGGCCCAGAGGCTAGAGCTGATGCCAGCACAGACCCAGCAGCTCCCAATCCAGCCACCTGCATCATGGGCAGGGGCATGCACTAGGTATAGTCACTGAAAAAGTATGTGTGCACCCAAGAGGTGGACGCAGGAGCCCGGGAGCACCCCAAGAGGAAGCCCACTGGTAAATAGCCTCTGTAGCCCTGCCAGAATCAGGCCCCCCAGGTGCAGCAATAGTAACCCCCCTCAACTGGGCAGGACAGCCTTCAACTGTGACACCATGTGACAGCAACAAGCAGTGGCAGCAAGGGCTAATCAGATTCCAGATCCTGCTCTGCTCGGCTTTCCAGAAAGGACAACAGCCCTCTGCCCTGAGTACAATCCTGAGATCTTTAGAAAGTCAGGGGAATTCAGAGTTAGTGGTCAGAGGAGGTGATGCTGGAGAGTCGCTGAAGTAAATGAGAGCCAGGTGGCCTCGTTCGAGGCCTGAGTGTGTAGACAGGCTGCGCCCTTGAGGCTCAGCCACCCACCCGCAGCCCACAGGTCGGGTGGGGAACAGGGCTGGGACTAGGTGAGGCAAGCAACGTGATGTGGCACAATATTTAGCAGGTACCAGCTCTCAGCGACATGCATGACAGCAGCAACACCTAGGTAAGGGCTTCCTTAAACCCTGTCCCCTCGGTGCCACCCTGGCGTGTGACACACTGCACCTGGGCTGACCCTCAGAGGCTCTGGGTTCTGATTCTGGCTCCATGACTGACGGCCTGAGTGGTCTGCACATGTGACTTTGCTTTGCTGGGCCAATGCTGAGCAAACACACATTTTCTATTAAAGAAAACAGTAAGAAAGGGCATGTGGATTAGCAAACAACCCATGACTGGACACAGAAACGTCCAAGTGGGCAGCAGAGCATGGTGCTTAAAGGCACAGAAGCCACAGCTGGGCTGCCAGGCCCTAAGTCCCAGTGGCTGAAAGGCAAGAGTCAGCTGTTATTTTTATGTATTAAGAACCAGGAAGAGCACGCCAAGCAAGAGGGACAGCAAAAGCCAAAAGACCCCACCAAGGGAAGAGCGTGGCAGGCCCAAGGGGCAGCAAGGAAGCCACCGTGGCTGCCACCTAGAGGCCCAGGAAGAGAGACCAGAGGATGAGGCCCAGAGAGGCAGGCCCCACGTCTACAGGACAGACTATCGTTTCTAAGTTAACCAGAATCTGTTTCTACATATAAGGGAAAGGCCAATGGAGATTTTTTTTGGGGGGGTGCCAGGGATGGCACCCTGGGCCTTCCTCATGCTAAACATGTGCACTACCACTGAGCTACACCTGAGTCACTGGGTGAGAATTTTAAAGAGAGAGTGGCATGACTGATGTATCCTTTAGAACCATCCAGTTGGATGCAGATTCTGCTCATGCAGATCCTGGTGGTTTGGTTAATCAGGGGTGGGGAAGAGGACATCCACTCTGGTTACTCCATTAATTAAGGCCATTAGTTAAGAGTAAAGAGATGAACAAAAGACACATTCAGGAATGTCCACACCAGCTCTGTTCAAAGCGGCCAAAAACTGGGCCCACTCTGATGGCAGATGGATTTTTCCAGTTCACTGACTTACCCTCTACTGCATCTGTGTGCTTGGCTATATTTGTGTTGTTTTCCAGTTTAAGTAAAAAGCTTAAGAAAGGGGATGGAGAATTCTCATTACCATACTCCACAGTAAGTGTTTCTTAGCCTCAGTTTACAAATAAACCAACCAAGGCTGGAAAGCCCAAATGAACTCATAACCAAGTCTGTCTGCCCGACACCTGCGTTCTTTCCAGGAGTCTTTGCTTAAAAGCAGAGCTGCCAGGCTGGAGATTTAGCTCAGTTAGTAGAGTGCTTGCCTCCCATGCCCAAGGCCATGGGTTCAATCCCCAGCACCCCACATACAAAAAAAAGCAGAGCTGCCTCCTTGGATGCTTCTTCAGCCCCTTTCCAAGAACCCCTGGGACTGCAAGGAGCAGAGTTTGAAAACCACTGCCCCACTCCAAATGGCCTAACTGCCTCCTGGTAACAGGACAAAACCCCAGTTGGGGAGCAAGGAGGAATTTGGAGCTGCCTGTTATGTGCAGTTCTCCCATCCCCCTCTCCTAGCCCCTAGGCCCAGCACAGCCCACCACAGCGGAGGCCTGGGTGCCCTTACTTGGGGGGGCCAGGTGGACCACATATCCATCGCCAATGTAGATCGCCCAGTGTCTGTAGAAAGGACGGAAAATCTCAATCAGGTCTCCAGGCTTGGGCTCTGGCTGGAAAAAGCAAGAAGAGGGATGTTAGTGGTGGCATGAGACCTTGGAACCAGGGGTGGGGCGCCATCAGGAGGGTTCAGTCAGCAGTTCCCAGCATCAGGTCAGCAGGACATGTGTCCCAAGCCCTGCCCTGCTAGTCTGATGCAGGTCCACCTCACAAGCCTGAGCTCCAGTCCTGCAGGGACCACAGACCTGCCTCCCCACAAAACCCACCCTGACCTTACAAATGACAAACTGCAAATCAGAAAGGTTTGTTATCTGGATCTCTGTCTCATTGTGACTCTTTCTAGGAATATTCTAAACGAACTGTTACTCTGAGCCGAGCATTTTATTTCACACGCATGCCTCAATAAATCCACGCACCCATCCTATAAGGTGAGTACTGTCTATCCTGAACCCCATCTATAAGGGAGGAAATCTCCTATAAGGCTCAGAGATGTGCGTGAATTTGCACAAAGCCACACAGCTCGTGAGTGACATGGCCAGGACTCAACATCAGGCAGGCTAATCCCCAGGTCCATGTCTTGACTACACACAGACTGTCAGGCTACCGTCACTGGTTGTTTTGACTAGAACTGCCACCTGAGGCTGTCCAGTCTACAGGGTATCCCCACAGGCACCCCAACCTGGCCAAGGGCCCTACAGAGAACCGGGATGGGCCTGAGGTAATGAGGTGCTCCTGGCTGCTCAGCACAAAGAGAAGGGCCGTGAGTGCTCAGGTGAGTGTGTGGAGCCTAGGCAGTGGGAGAGAGCACGCCTGAGTGGACATGTGTGTGAACACGTGAACATGAGTGTGTGTATTTGTGTGTGTGTGTGTGTGTGAAGAAGGTGGGAAGGGTGCTGTAGATGCTCCCAAGTCCCTGCCTGTTAGGGGAACATGGGGTAGAGTTTGAGAAAACTTCAGAGAGGTTCAAGATCACACTCACCCACATCACTGACACCCCAGGGTCAGACCTGTGCTGTGCGCTGGGGGTGGGGAGTTTCCCACTCTGACCAGAGTTGGGGTGGGGTAGCCTCTGCGGCCCAGGCCAATCATAGACTCTAATGATCAAGGAAACCTACCCCCAGGACCTCTGGAGACAGGCCCATCAGCACCTGGTTCCAACCACTCTGTCCTTTGCTAAGGCCCCATCTGCAGGCAGGACCAGCACCGCCTTCCACACAGTGAAGACACAGAGAGGGGCTCCGACCTGCTTGCTCCTAGGAGTACAGGGGCTGCCCACATTCCATGCCAGCACCCCAAAAATAAATAAGAAGTAAAAAGTAGAGGACTCATGGGCTGGGGTTGTGGCTCAGCGGTAGAGCACTTGCCTTGCATGTGTGAGGCACTGGGTTCGATTCTCAGCACCACATATAAATAAATGAATAAAATAAAGGTCCATCAACAATCAAAAAAATATTGAAAAAAAAAAAGTAGAGGACTCCCGTATGGAGTCCTATGCCCTAGTTAAAAGTAGGGAGTTGATGTCTACAGGGCAACATGGGGGGGTCTCAAGGTGCTAGGGATGGAGCCCAGGGCTTCAAACATGCTAAGCACGTGCACTACCCCTGAGGTGCACCCCAGCCCCAGAGGGACTTTAAAACAGTGCCTACTGGGAAAATGAAGGTGCACTCGGTCACACAACATCACTTAAGTAAACTAAAGGCCCACAGACCCACAGCAACAGCGAGGCACTAAGCAACTCAGTGAGACCCTGTCTCTAAATAAAATACAAAATAGGGCTGGGGATGTGGCTCAGCGGTCGAGTGCCCCTGAGTTCAATCCCCAGGACCCCCACCCAAAAAAAGAAGGGACCCAAGAAGACAGGGTGCCATGAACTAAGGATATGCATAATTTACCCTCTTCCACCAAAATCCAATCAGAAAAGCAATTACCTAATGACACACATACGCCTGCCCTGCTGAGTCATAATTAAGAATTCAAAACCTCATGTGCTCAATATAAAGGTACAAAAATTACCGTCCAGAGCCAAATTTGGCCCTCTGCTTTTGTATGGCCTGCCGGAAAGCTCAAAATGTTTCTTACAGTTTTAAGTAGCTGGGGAAGAGTCCAAAGAGAATATCTTTTCACACAGGAAATTCAAATTTCATCGTCTGTGAGGTGTTCTGGGAACGTGAATGCACTCACACATTCACCTTCTGTCTGCGGCTGCTTGCTCTCTGCGACAGCAGGGTTGAGACGTTGTGGCAGCCACCATCTCAACTGTAAAACCTACAATGTTTACTACCTGGGCCTTTAGGGAAAATGTTTGCCAACCTCTGTCATGAAAGGACCCGCAGCTCTCCCAGGAATCCAGGCAAGTGAGGAAAGGCTTGGCTCAGCAGAGCACCACCAGACACGGGAACAGGCTGCCTCCTCGAGGGAAGGGCTCAGGGGACCCCCAGCTGCACAGTGGAGTGACCGAGACCCTCCTACGCAGCACACGCGGTAACAATGGCCAGCTGAGACTCTGCTCACCCACGGGATTTCACCACAAAAAGCCTTTATCTCCCCACAAAAGCAGAGTGACAAAGGCTTTGTGACAGGCATTTTCCTTAGCAAGCAAACTGAGGGGCAATCTCTGGCCTCTGAAATTCATAATGGAAACAACCCAAACGAGGGTTAAGGGAGAAGGTGGGTCACAGCAGCAGACATGGAAATCATCAAAATCAGCAAGTTGGAAGGCATTATTATTCCATCTTTGCTTAAAGTGCATTTATAATTAAAATGTATTATACACTATTATGATCCGAGGAAACACACCAAACTATCGCAAATTGTACACAGTAAGTGACTGAGATTCAAGGAGTTTTAAACTTTATGTTCTATAATTTGATTTGTTTGAACTTTTCAAGTATAATTACTTTGATAATGAAAAATTTTTAAGATTTTTAAATAGGAAAAATACCCTCATGCTGATGAACTTGTATTTTTTAGTTGGATAATATAGATTGTATGTTACTAAACCTCATGAAACTTTGTCCCAATTAGAGGCATTAATTTTCTTTTGAATTATTTTCTACTTTTAAAAAATGTTTAAATAAGCATGAATTCATTTTAGAATTGGAAAAAAAAACCAGGATTGAACAAACACCAGTGTGTTTGTTCAATCAATCAAAATTTGATTTTGGGTAATTCATCCAAACACTGTCATGCCAAAAAATTAGAAATACACAGCCAGGTATAGTGTAATCCCAGCAACTTGGGAGGCTACGGCAGCAGGATCCCAAGTTCAAGGCCAGCCTGGACAACTTAGAGAGGCCCTAAGCAACTTAATGAGAACCTGTCTCAAAATTAAAAAATAAAAGGTCTGGGAATGTAGTTCAGTGGGTTCAATCCCCAGTACCAAAAGATACGCACACACGCACATGAGCACACACACACACATGCAAAGCAAAAATATTAGAAAGATATAGGTATTTAGATAGATCAAATATATATGTGCACATATATACATAAATATATACGTATGTTTATATATTTTTAATATATTTGTTGAAATTTATTTGCTGAAATATATAAATATCTCTCTCAACATCCTAAAAGACATTCACTCTGGAGAGAGCTAAGGGTGATCCTTCATTTCTCCAAAAATTTCTAGATTTTATGTCACATTTTCAAGTATATAACACACTTCCCAACATTTTATTATAAAAAAAATTTTCAAACATACGATTTGAGTTTTCAAATGTTTAAAAGTGAAAGAAGATTTTAAATGAACATCTATAGACCTGATACTATATTTGCTTTATCACACAACATACGTCCATCTTTTTGTTTCTGTTGTACTGTATCTTCAAATTTTATTGTTGTTGTCGTTGTTGTTTTAAGTCATTTAAGAGCTCAAGCAATGAGGGAGTCCAAGGTAATAACAAGAGCGAGAAGATGCACCTGTGATGTGCTCTGACCATAAGCTTTACAGCTCCCTATAAATTACCATCCATAGCCATACCCTGGGTTCCTGCCTCCTCCTCCCCAGCATGAATGACAGGAGAACGGATTGCTAACATGTAAAATCACCTTTGGGTTTTTTTTGTTTTGTTTTTATTATTTTGTTACCAGGGATTGAACCTGTGGGGCACTTTTCCACTGAGCCATATCCCCAGCCCTTTTTAATTTTTATTTTGAGACAGGGTCCCACTAAATTGCTGAGACTGCCTCAATCTTGGGATCCTCTTGCCTCAGCCTCCAGAATTGCTGGGATTACAGCAATTACAGCACCACCATGCTCAGCTCATCCCACATTTTTAACAAATCCCAATGAATTAAGTGGCCAATAATATCCCTGAGAATCCCCTCACTTTGAGGGTGTCCACCTCTGCCTTGGAGGATCAAGGGACTCATGCATTTACTCATTCACTCCCCAGGTACTCTCTGAGCCGTGTACCAGGCACCAGGCACCTGGGCTTTGTCTATGAGCAAAAGCAAAGATGCCTGCCTTCATGGAGCTGTCATTCAGGGACAGGAAGAAAGACAGTGGGAAAAAAAAAAAAAAAAAACAGTAAATAAGCAAATCATCAGCCGGGCCCTGTGGTGCATGCTTGTGATCCCAGCAGCTCTGGAGGCTGAGGCAGGAGGATCTTGAGTTCAGCAACTTAGCAAGGCCCTGTCACTAAATAAAAAAATAAAATAGAGTTGGGGATGCAGCTCAGTGGTTAAGGCCCCTGAGTTCAATCCCTGATACCAAAAAAGAAAAGAAAAGAAGGCCAGCAATGGGGGTGGAGGGCAAGAGTGGCAGCGTAGAGGGTCACAGGGCCACAGAGGTGGCAGTGCAGCACCTGCCACCGCTCTAAGGCCTTTGACCCTGACTGATAGGGGCCCCTTCAAGGTGTGGAACACGGAGAGACAGGACCCACCACAGGGTCCCTCTGGCTGCTGCCCTTGGAAGAGACCACACAGGGCATGAGGAGGAAGAAGGAGACCAGGGCGACAGCTCAGACAGGCTGGGCGGAAGTACTGGACGCTGCATCCACTTTGAAGGTACAGCCGATGAGGAGGGGTGTGGAGGAAAGAGGAGTCA